GCCCTGTGGGGAAGGGCGCGGGCCCCCGGCTGAGGCCTGGGCCGAGGCGCCCCGCCGGTGCCCGCCGCGGGCGTTTCGAGCGGTCCGTAGCCCTCTCTGGTTCTCTTTTTTTTCCCCTTCTTTCCCTTTCTTTTCCCCCCTTCTTTTCCATGAAAATGGAAAAGATTCCATTTTTGTAAGTATTATTTGGGAGGAGGAGCAGGAGCAGTAGGCGCGCTCGCCCGGTTTCTGTAAGGCGTCGCGTGTTTCCTAGGAGGTGAAGCAGGTGCTGCCTTTGGGATGGCCGGTTGGGCGGGAGAGTTAACTGCTGGAACGTGAGCTTGTTCCTGTAAAATGTCCGGGCCGCCTGGAATAGTCATAAGGAACCTTATTTAATCGTTTTATGCAACCCACTTTTCATGATATCGGAGTAATGCAAATGTTCTTGGAAGAGGTCAGCTCCTAGTACAAAATCACTGATAGCGCTGAGGAACGTGGTGTAAATATACGCTTCAGGGGGAGGCTCGAGCGGTCAGCTCGCGTGTCGGGTACGGTGTAGTCTCTGCCCAGACACGGGTGCTCTTCCAGTGCACCCAGGCGTTTTGCGTGCTTGCTGTGTCATGCGCTTTTCCTGCCTGAGACCTCAGGACATGACAAAAATGACGTTAAGACACCGGCAGTAACGCTGAGATGCTTCACCAAGCATCTGTAAAGCTAAATGCAACTCGGAATACTTCCTTATGCTTTAGTTTTCCACTGAGAGCTTCAGGTACACTGGGCTCTGTCAAACCGTGCCCTAAAATTGCCTCTGAAATGACAGACACATCAAGCTTCCCAAAATTCATGAAATCAGGAAAGTAGCAGCCATCTGTAAACCTGTTTACCTGAAGGATCACTGCTTACCCCACGCAAGTGCTGCAGTAGACCTAACAAATCAAAATTAGCTTTATTAGTGAGCCTACCGCTAAGCGATTTTTGTGTTGCTGATGTGTTAATACTGGAACAATCATCCTCCTTAACTGCATTTAATTCAAGCAGGCGTGGTCTGCATGTGTTTGTCATTTTGCCTTCTGGAATTAATACCCGCTTGAACAGTGTGAAGAGGAGGTAACCTCATCAAAACGCTTTCTGAGAAAGGGAAATTAAAATCATAAAAGCCATGGTTTTGCTGGAGTAAGAGCTAGAATATCCTGTGCAGGTGAGTGCATGGATAATGAAAACGGGACTTTCCAGTATTGCGCGTCCTGTGCGTTCTTTCGAAACACAACGTGCACATTGGCCTTTCGCAGTAGTTGTGGAAGATCTCTCATAATGAAAGAGATTCCCTGCACTTTATTGAAAGACAGTTTCAAAGTCGTGAAAACACAAATAGGATGTGCTTATGCTGTAATTGCAGATAGGTTTGGGTGTCCTTGGGCTGTTCTGCCCATTTTGAGAATCATAAAAAAAGATGCATGACAGTATTATTATGATGCAGAGATTTAGCTAATATATTCTGCCTTTAAGCAAAATTTTAATGTTGCAAAGGCAAATACCTCACAGCTTCGCAGGCACTAGAAGAGGATTAGCGTACTTACAGGAGTGTGATCCTCCAGTTTTTCCACGTGATGCTTGTTGGCTTCAGCAGAATGCAGCAGCTTAGACCGAAAAAGTTTATTTTATTTATGTTTGCAAGCTAGGAGGAACTTGAGCATTTTGGCTTGTTGCATTAGATGTGGGAGTTGCCAGTAGTTAATAGTTCTTCCAGTTAGAGCTGGCTGAGGCAGGAAGATTTTTTAAGGACGTCACGTACTTCTAAACTTGGCTGTTGTAACATGCCTTAATATTTAAGCTATTCTATACAAGCATCTTGCTTTACTAATATGTTTTTTGGCATGGTTGTGAAATCTGAGTGAAATATTGCACTTACTGTTTACTTAAAGTCGTTGTTTTCACTTCAGTGGACTGCTAAGCCTTCTGATGCGGTTGGTGATCAATACATAGAAACAAGGTCAAAATCAGTTTGCAAATAATTCTGGAAGACGACTTGATTATCCAGATGTTCTTGGAAACTTTCTAAGTGCATCGTTTCTTATCAAGATAAGGTGAAACTTGCACATTTACTTTATGCCTGCGCTTTTTCAGATACGTTGCGTGAGTCTGGGCAACACAGATGTCACGGTTCTGTAGCAGCATCTGTGACAAACATTCCCCATTTTTAAAAAAAAGGAGTTCAAAGTGAGAATGGTTAATCCGAAGCTTGCCAAACTAGTTTGCAGTGCCACCAGATTGCTGTCAAAGCCATCTTTGCTTGGCTTTGCCGTCCTAGCTTATGGAACGGCTTTCGACATTGTGCCATGATGTTGTAGTAAAAATGGCTTTAATAAAGGAAATACTGGCATGTGTCCCTTCAAGTGGCGCCTGGGGAAGTTCTTTAACTTTCAGCTCATCATACTGTTACATTCAGGGTGGTAGCAAATTGTTTTTTGTATTTTTTTTTCTTTAATACTCTGACAGTATCCTAAAACACCGCCTGCGTGCAGCTGCCCCTGTTGTATCAGAGTGTGTTACACAGCTAAAAATTAGTAGGGACCCAAAATGATTAGTATCTGGCTGGTGGCCCAGAAACAGGGAAAGCTGGGTCTGGCAGCGTTTGCCAGTAATTTTCTGTAAGACAAGTGTCTTTAGCTCTTTCATTGTCTGATTAATTCTTAGGCAATAGCACTCCTGCATATAATGCTGGATCTATAGTGCTACTCCAGCAGTAAAAATATGAGCTGATCTAGTCGCCAGCTAGTCCGCGTGCTGCAGTGCACAAGAGGTCTTGAGTGGCTCGTTCAGAGCAGTAGGTTAAATATGAAAATGGTGTGGGCTGCTGTTGCAAAATGAACAGGTGATAATCAAAAATATTTTCCTCAAAGCCTCTATTGCTGTTTTGTGGTCTTTTCGCTTTAATGGCTTTTATTGTTTCTTCCTTCTTCTCAGGATCTCTGATCCTTTGGTAAGGAAAGTAAAATGAGAGGCTGGATTTCACTGAGGTTAACTTTAAAGTAGTTCTCTTTCTCTGAACGTTTAATTGAGCTTTAAGATTAAAAGGCAACTATTTGCAGTATCTCTCAAATTGGTTACTTTACTACTTGGGTATGTTTTTAGTGAAGTAGCTTTCATGTCTGAGTAGCATTCAGAAATTTTAAGATCCAATTTCTGCTGGCTTTCAAAGCAAGTTGACTCATCAGTTTAGTCTTGTGCTGCAGACCTAAAATGTCAGAAGTCGTTATCCCTTTTGCTCTATTACCATTCAGTGATCTTTTTGTTGTTCAGAAAAAAACCCTTATAATTCTCATGCACCTAAATAAAATGTGGGGAATATATGTTCTCCTTATGCAAAAAAGCCTGGCATAGCTTTAGCTTTTCGATAGCATGCTTGAATCTCACTTAACATTTCAAGAATAAAACGTGATCTCACTTTCATGTCACCACCTTTCTCCACTGACTATTTTCTTGACTTTCCTCCCATATTTCGTAGTTATCGTTATGTAATGGTGTCACGTAGCTTGGACTTCATCCA